ATGATGAAATTGATCGAATTAATTCATCCAGATGCAGGTGTAGAGATACTGATGAAAGACCAAAGCTATGTAGGGGGACAATTGAGTTTGTAGTTTCCAAAGAATATACGGTCCGAGATCCGATGCTTGTTGTATATTTCTTCCTTATTGATGTATCCATGAATACGGCCATACAAACAGGCGCAACTACAACAGCTTGCAATGCAATTAACCAAGTTAACAACCTCTTCTGATGGTATCGAAGATATGAAATGGAGGAAATTTATTGATTTATGGTAGGAAAAATATAATAGCATATTCATATCATTCCCTAATCCAAAGTAAGTGCCTGTGTGTATACATGTTTGTATATGTATATGTATAGATTTTTAGGGTATGGATTTAGGGTATGGATTTTGATGGGTACACCACAACATTATTTTTGTTAATTCATTTTTTGTTGGATTAAGAGTAAAATTGTAAAGTTGTTGTGGTACAATTATTCAAAATAGATTTTAATTGTGGTGTTATTATAATGTGGTGTAGAAAATAAATTTTTGGTAGTATTATAATTACCCATACAACAAAACTATAGCTAACACTACAACATAATGGAATGTACTGTGACATAAATATCCCCATGCTGATGTGGCTCAATACTCCTCATCAAGATAGGAAATGTATGTTCAATAATCCTATCTTGTTTATTAATGCTTTGAATCTGGCTCCCCCTAACGGCTTCGTCAACAAATCTGCTAGTTGGCATTGTGAAATCATATGCAACATCTTTACTTCAGCTGATGATCTTGAAACTGTATGTTGTTTCTTTGACTTCCACGATTCTAATGAATTATAAAAAATATGCAATAACCAATGATGGACCTTCTTGTATCAGAACATGTAGCCCAGTCTGCATCACAAAAGCCCTTAAGATGAAGATCAGTCTTGCTTTCAAAGAATAGGCTTTGTCCAGATGTACCCTTCAAATATCTTAACGCATGATGAGCTGCTTCTAAATGAGGTTATCTTTGTGACTGAAGGAATTGACTCATGACCTGTGCTGCATATGACATATCTGGTCTCGTTATTGTCAAGTATAGGATTCTTTCCACTAGCCTCCAGTACATACTTACATCTGCAATCATTTCCCCCTCGTTTTTGCTCAACTTCAGGTTGTGTGGTAGAGAGCTATTTGCTAGTTTCGCTCTTAGATAACCTGCATCTTCCGATATCTCCGATGCATATTTTCTTTGATTTATCGATATCCCTTTTGAAGTTCTTGCTAGCCTAAGAAATATCTTAGAGCCCCTAAATCCTTTAGTTTGAATTGTCCATTCAATTCCTTTTTAAAATTTTCAATATATCCCAAGTCATTTCCACCTATGATGATATCATCTACATAGATGAGAAGCACGATGAATAAGCAACCATCTTATTTGCTGAATAGGGAATAATCTGACTTTGATTGCCTGAAGTTTTGTGAGAGTATGTATGAAGTTAATTTAGTATTCCATTGCCTCGAGGTCTGTTTAATCATGGAGAAAGGCATTGTTGATATCTATCTGATGAACATGCCATTGCATTTGAGCAGCAACAGCTAGTAGAGTTTTGACGGTCACTAGCTTAGAAACAGGAGAAAAATGTTTCCTCATAGTCTAAACCAGCTTGTTGAGTGAATCCCTTAGCTACAAAAAATGTCACAGAGAGTGCACAAAAAATTGAGTTTCTCCATGCATCTATCTTCCGAAAGTAAATCAAATTAAATTACTCCAAATTACAATACACATATATTCCAAATTAACAAAACATATATATACATAACAAATGTCGATGGAAACACAACAAATCAATTAACAGACTAGCAAAAACATGGTAACTTAAACGAGGGCATTGCAAGGGTCAGGCCCACAAAGGTTGCGAAGAGAGAAGAGGACTCTGAATCGCTCCGAAATTGGTTGGTTTTGATCCAACAAATAGTCGCAAAGAAATTTCTCGATGTCTGTCGAAATTTGGAACGAACATCCGGAATTAGCACTGCCCATTAGGAGTAGAAATGGAATCGGAACTAGAATTCAATTAACAAACGTAAAACTCTAGCTCTCCCAATTTCTAGAAAGCTAGGGCATAATAAGCGTATTTTCGTAGAAGATGGTTGACATTTGACATAACCTTGACATGAAATTATCCCCCTCCCCCCTCGTGATGGAAAGTGCATGTTGCTCTTTACTTAACTTGCTTAAGACTGGAGGTCATCCAATTTGGAGCAAAGTTTCATTCTAGTCACTCAACTTTCTTTTTTCTAAACTCATTACTAAATATTCAACTTTGTTTTAGTATGATCATCAGCATCGTTTTGATAACAAAATTTAGTGCTTGTGTATAAAATTTTGCTAAACCTTTTTTAAATTTTTAACTGATCAAATTTCAATTTTAATCGCAAACTCATGGAATTCATTAATTTTATTAACTTTTAATCAAAATCTGTTAAAAGTTTTATAATAAAAAAACTTTGTCAAACAAGTCTTTGGTGTCCTTTCTTAGATGATGTATACATTTTTTACATGAACAGTAATAAATGTTAGTTGTCTCATTTAGTAATAATTGTTTTTCAATTTGTCAATATAGTTGCATAAGTATATCAAATATACATTTCAAGTGCAGATCATGTATTAAAAGCACAAGTGTATACTGTTTTCCAACACCAATGCTCTGGGCGAGGTCGGAGAGTGGAGTGTCTGCAAAATATGACCTATTTTTTTCTTTCATCTTTTAATTTGTTTCTTAAAATTATGCAAGTTTTATTCATTTTATCCTCGTGACAATACATACTTTGCATGATAGCGAAAGGTTGTTGTCAATATTAAAATACTAGGGTATGATTTTGCACTTAGGCGTTAAAGTGAAGGACTAAATATTCAAAGTTTCCATTATAAACATGGGTTAATTATATGAATGGTCACTGAACTTTGCCTTATGTTATTACTTAGTCACTGAACTTAAAAATGTAACTCAATGATCACTGAATTTCGTCAAGTATTACTACTTCATAACCGAACTTTAAAATATATCTCAATGGTCTCCGAACTTCAATGGTATTACCCATTCGTCACTCAAGTTGACGCCGTTTATTGGGCTTAACGGATTTTTCTATTTGACGGATTTCAGTGACCATTAAGATAAATTTTTAAATTGAAATATGAAGCCCTTGCTTGAGTCCCGTTCTTTCCCAAAAAAAAAATATATATATATATATTCTTAAACAGTGATTTGACATTATTCAACTACATATTTTTCAATAAAATAATATTATACGTAAATTCAAAATTTTTTCTTATTTTTTAACTATACATTTTTCATCAATATATTATTCAAAAATTCATTTTATACCTCAAAATGAGGATCAAACAAGGGCTAAACTTCTCAAATCAACCTTTACGAAAGAAGAAATCAAAGAAAATGAAGGGAAAAAAGAGAAAACAGAAAATCAGAAACTTATAAATTAAATAAAAATAGAATTGTTGCTAATATTTATCCATCATAGTGGAAAAGTACGTTTGATTTTTAGATCAACTGGTATTAGTTTGCCATATCTCAAATTCCGCATAAATAGATTAAAAGAGAAACAGTTAGACCACTAAAAGAAATTGACAAAGAAAAATTAAATAAAAGTACAAAAATGTTTGAATAGTGTCAATGTAACTAAGGTCGATTTGATTTTTCAATTATGTTACTACTTAGTCACTGAACTTAAAAATGTAACTCAATGGTCACTGAATTTCGTCAAGTTTTATTACTTCATAACCAAATTTTAAAATGTATCTTAATGGTCACCGAACTTTGCACCGTGTTACCCATTCGTCACTCGAGTTGACGCCGTTTGTTGGACTTAATGATTTTTTTTCATTTGAGTGACGGATGGGTAACACGGTATAAAATTCTGGTAATCGTTGAGATACATTTTAAAGTTCGGTTATGAAGTAATAACACTTGACGAAGTTCAGTGATCATTGAATTACATTTTTAAATTCAGTGACTAAATAGTAACATAGGGCAAAGTTCACTAACCATTCATATAATTAACCCCATAAACATCCAGACTTCGTCTCTATAGAGTCTCTTGACCGTTCAATTGAGTTGCAGTTCTGCTGCTTCCCTCTGTCGGCACGTGTAATGATCTTTCTCAATTTGTTCAGATCTGAAAATTTTCTATCAGAGTTGCAGCAATTCCCTTTATCTCTCTCACAATAATCGCAGTCTAAGTTTAAATTTTTGATTGATTGTCAAACCCTAGAAATTGAGAATTTTGATTTAGATTCGAGCAGTTCTTTTATTTATTAACGTGGATTCTAATTTATTTATTTTTTAATTTTTAATATGCAGAATTACGACAAGTGAGTCGCCGCAAGATTCTCTATCATCCCTGAACATTCTTCAGATATCCCGATCGTCATAGCCATGAATTCTAGAAGGTCTTTTCTCCCTTTTTTTTTTTTTGGTTCTGTGCGAATTTAGACCCCAACCTTTAATTTATTTATTGTACAAAATTAGAAGTTTCAATAATTTATGAATTGAGTTTGGAGAAATATTGGCTGTACGTTGATTAATTGTGTTCATTGTGCTTGCTTGCTTGCCCCATGAATTCTGCTTTCCCAGAAACGTTGAATGCTGGAGAATTGAGCTAGTGAATGAAATCAGGACTTGAAAAGCTATCAGCTCTTGGTTGTAAATTAAAAATTTCACCCTTATCTGAGCCCATCTTTAGATATATACATCCCATCTTAGAGAGGAGAACTACATAGTGACTGTTTTACCTAAAGCACACGATAGTAATTGGAAAAAGACTACCATAGAAGACTGAATTTTTCACTTATTTCAAATGGGGAAGAAATTAACAGTACCTTCTATCAGATTTTGAAAATCTAAAGTTGAACCTTATCATAGTCGCCCTTATCGAATTCGTTTATGCATTACTGTCTCTTGGTCTCTACCTGTTGTACTGCTCACAATGATCTTGAATTCAGGGACCGCAATGCTAGAGTTGCTCTGTTTGACGGTATAGAGGAAGGTGGTATAAGGGCTTCATCTTCTTATTCCTCTCATGAAATCGATGAGCAAGAGAATGATAGGGACGTTGATGGATTGCAAGATCGAGTGAATATGCTGAAAAGAGTAAGTTTGAATTTGCCAGAGTTTATAGTTGGATCCTGGCTTTATTTGTCTGGTTGTTACATTTTTCTTTCCTTCAATAATTTTTTTTTTTTTTTTTTTTTTTTTTTTTTTTTTTTTTTTTTTTTATTTTTTTTTTTTTTTTGAGATTAACACGTATATAGTTTTTTATATGTCATTTTTCAGTTTTGTTGGAGGATAAAGAGAGAAAGTTGAATGGATTCCCGTAACTGGTGGTTGAGGTTTCGTGTCAGATTATACAAGTATTTGTTCATGAGGAAAGTTTAAAAAACAGAAGATGAGTTGGGTTTTTTCATAGGTTGATGGAGAATGCCTACTAAAGTCTCTTCCAAATATCTGTATTTACCCTCAAATATAAGCAAATTTACTCAACTTGGATGAGAGTGAATGACAGCTTTGCTGTAATGTGTGGAAGTTCATTTGTTTGATGGGCTTATGTGTGTCCTCTTGTAACATCCCAAGAATGCATTTTGATGGGTATATATTTTCAAATTTATAGCTCTGTAGGATTTGACAGAAGTATAGTGTAATTTAAATTATATGCACTTAGGTTATGACTAAAAAAAAAACTGTTAGTTTGTATACCACGCTTACGTCTTGAAATAAGTTTGAACTGTTATAAATGAAAAAGGTGCATTCTTTGATTTCACATATCATGTATGGATTAGGTATAATTCTTTGAAAAAGGTATTAACTATTATTTTGGATCGGCAGCTGTCAGGTGATATACATGAGGAGGTTGAGACCCATAACCGAATGCTGGACCGAATGGTGTGTATATTATTGTAATATATCCCACACGCCGAATGTGTATTATTAGTCTTGTGGTTAAACACTTGCTCTCCTAACTTTTTGCACGTAGGGCAATGACATGGATAGTTCAAGAGGAGTTCTATCCGGGACCATGGATAAATTTAAGATGGTATTTATGACCTCTACTCCATTATGCTACTCTCTCTTTTGCTTGGATATTTTGCTTTTCTACAAATGACTTTGCACTTGCCTCAGGTGTTCGAAACCAAATCAAGCCGCAGGATGTTTACACTCGTGGCATCTTTTGTTGTCATTTTCATTGTCGTATACTACCTTATTAGGTACGTGTTTGCATAAATTTGAGAATCCGTGAACTTGTGTAGAGGATGCACTGCCTACTCTACTACTCGGCCAATGTCATTGCATGGCATAGCTTTCATGTGCTTGTAAAGATGTTTTGATGCAATATACACTTGGATGGACAGAAATTGTGACATTTTTAATAAATCTTTGACCAATATGATGCCAGTTGACAAGGCTTTACCGACTTTTGTTATTCTGCAGCAAGTAAAAGAAAATGGAAGAAGGAAAAAGAAGTATCTGCACTGCAGCTGTAATTTGGTGAAGCTTAAGAATGGATGGATTTGTTCCAAGCAGCAGTTTCTACTGAATCTGTTATTAGTGTTTTTTGTGGTAATAGCTTTGGTAGAGTCGTTGAAACATTTCAGTGCTAAAGGTCCAGAACCTCTCTGATGCTTCATGCTCGTGTGTTTGTATATGTGTGCGCACGTGTTTATAGATTCCGTATTGTCTTTTGGAACAGACGAAAATCTGTGTAATGGTACATATTAAGTGCATAATCTGAAATGCTGGCACTAAAGTGCCCCTTTTCTAGATAAAAATTTCAAAATGCCGTATTAGATATAATTGTTGAAGAATGCTCCATCTTTTGATTTGAGAATAAGCTCCCTTTGACCTCCATTTTTCCTAAAATTTAAATTTGAACTCCACATTTTATAATAAACTTTATGACCCTGTTTGACCTTCGTTTTTCGTAAAACTCAATTTGAACTACACATTTTCTAATAAATTAATTTGGACGTAAATCCTAAACTTTTTTCATTTTTTGACCATATGTTCTTTAAACATATTAAAAATAAAAAAAAAAATAAAAAGAAGAGGGGAGGGGTTGCTCAAACAAGGACTAAGAGCGTAGAATTTTGTCACTTGTACATCAAATTGTACATAAGAGGTTACATAATATGATGTGGAAGAAAAAATTGTATTAAAAAGTTGATTGTATTTTAAATTAACAAATGGTAGAATATCATGTAGTATTATATAACTCGTTATGTAAACAATAATGTACATTTAACAAGATCCAAAAGCGTAATGTATCGATTGTTTAATAAAATTGTATTAGAGTAATATGTATTAATTATTATGCAGCCTACGTGATTTTGTCAATCATGGCATGTCAATTATGGTGCATTTCTTGCATAATATTTATGAATATCATCGACAGTGTTGATAAATAAAAATTGAAAAAGAGTAAACAATAGATCGGAATGTACCTTAAAACGGAGGAGGAAAAAACCTAAAAAGATGCACCAGCCGGGAATCGAACCCGGGTCTGTACCGTGGCAGGGTACTATTCTACCATTAGACCACTGGTGCTATGCTCCTCTAATTGCTACATATTGTCCTTCTTGTTTTTGACTAACTTCAATAAAGTTCACTACTTTGGACGGTACAAAATAAGCAAATATTATTTTGATCCTAAACCCTTATTTGATCCCCATTTTTTGAAAAAAATACATTCTAAACAATATTTTGATATCATTTCAATTACATTCTTCAATAAAATAATATTACATGCAAATAAAAAACTTTTCTTATTTTTTAACCATACATTTTTCACATATATACTATTCAAAAATTCATTCTTATCAAAAGAATGGGGTTCAAACAAGCGCCGATTCTTAATTTTGCATGATATATCTTCAAATTCTTGGGTATATGCTTAGTAGAATAGATTGAATAGAAGAATTCAAAACAATTGTCCCATACTTCAACTTGTCCATTTCTTTGCAATGAATGTGAATAGGTACACTTGTTTATGGTTTCACATTATGAATTAGAGTATGGTGTAAAATAAAGGTTATAATCAAATTAATGTGATCTTGAACTTTCTGAAATTCTTTTCACTTTTAAACGAGTCAATGAGACTTTAAGACGTATAAAAGTTTTGAGTTTAACTATCATTGTTACCTATTCGGGGAAAAAAATAAATAAATACAAGCACACATGGAAGGGTATGTTAAAGAAAAAATAAATAAAATTCTTAGATGAAGTACTTCTTCATGATATAAAGTATGTGAGCCTCACGAGTAAATCTGAGCGTCATCAACTTATTCGTATAAACATAAATCTTACTTAGTTATGAAAGGGGCATTTTGAAGTCTTTATAACACTTTTAGTTTTTGTTTGGTTCTCATTTTTAAAACTCATTGTTTCCCCTCAAACTCATTCTCAACCATATGGGATTCATAATTTTTGTAATCTTTTCAATCATATATTTAATCAATTTTTATAAATAAAAAAATAAAAATAAAAATAAAAATAAAAAATTTGATGTTTAACTAAATCAAACATGAGCTATATAAAGTAATACAAGAACATTAACTAGTACTAGTTGTGGTACCGCTCGATTCTAATTACTTTCTGATAGATTCATGGTTCATCTATATGCTGTCAAATTCATATGGAGTACTCCTGCACTTCTTAAACATCAAGAGGAACAAATTAACACGAAAGCCGTTGGAAATTAGCAAACTACAAGATTACTTAGAGCCACCCTAATTCAGTTCTAATATACTAAGAGTCGAGATGACATCCTTGTATCATTCCTCATATGAATAATATGGCCGAAATCTAATATACTCAACCAAACCAGAAGGGAAAGACCCAAAAAAAAAAGGGGGGGGGGGGGGGGGGGGTGTCATAATGTCTAAGTAGATTTTTGATTGGTGATTAATTTATAATTTAAGAGATTATAAATTAAATTTTTTATAAAATATGTAAATAATAAGCTAGGAAAATACCGTTGCAGCACATACTTGGAGGTGTGTGCGCTAAAAACATGGAATGAGATTGATAATTACTTCAAGCAGAACTAGGAACCAGAGGCCCAGGGCAATGCTTTAAATGAAACAATCCCTTCAATGCAATCTTTAACTGAAATATGAGGTACCGTGCAAATAAGATCATAAGAAAGCAATTTATCCTTTCGCATTTCGCAAAAACCTTTATTAGATTTTAGTTACTTTCCTCTATTCCTTTTTGAAAAACCGTTGTTAATCTTTGTTATAGCAAGAAAATTAATACCGGCATCTAGTTCATAAATATATACGAGCTCTGGTTGTGGTACTAATTGCTGTTACTGAAAATACTATCAAGCTATATAAAAAAAAAAAAAAAAAAAAAAATTTAATTTTTCCCTTGTCATTTTGCTAACAAATGGTGTAGTTACCAGATCTAGTAAAAAAAAAAATATTTTGATACCAGTGCAAGAGAAACAAAAACTAGACACCAAAACTAGCTATAAATGCCTGGTAATTAAACTACGAAAAGCGGAGATCGGTAGAAAGTTGGCACAATTAGAATACGGAAATAATAGAACCCTAATTTATGATATTCAAATTAGGGTTAAAGATTTACAAGTTGAAATAAAAACATAGCTACGATAAAAAGCTCTTCCCATCAAGAAACCTTAAAATTCCAACTTTACAGCATATTCTTCCTTCATTGGCCACCACAAATTATGAAATTCTTGAGCACAAGTAACCATTTTTATATAAACAAATGGTACTTTTGCATAGAAACTACTAAAGATCATATGTAACTACCTGAGATCGATGAAAACGAGAATATTAATTTAAGGATGTTCAGCAAAACTATCCGAGTCGAAGCTCCAAATCTAAATCCTCTTCTTGACTTATGACCTGTTTCTTCTCCAGATTTTCCATAACTGCTGGCACAAATTCTGAGCTCAAATCCATGCGCCAGTCGTCCCCAAATTGAGTCGCTTGTTGTTGATCGCGATCATCACGAGAATTCTGTTGATAAAAGGGTCCAGTACTAGACGTGGATGCTGGAATATATGTACTATAATTTAATGATGCTTGATCATGATGAGATGCAATATATTGTACTGGTTGATAACTGGACAGTATCTTCTGGTGAAATCTTGGGACTGTGTAATTTTCTTCTTGCCTATTGGAATTAGTTGAAGTAGGTTTGTTCCTTGCTCTATCTTTTCTGTGGATATTCATGTGGCCACCCAAAGCCTGTGCAGTATTGAATCCTCTCTTGCAGAACACACACTCATACAACCGGCCTACACCTAGATCATTATTGTCTTGCTCCGATTGCTCGGTTTCTTCGCTCGCGTTTATTGATTCTTCTTGATGATTTGACTCCATGGAAAATACCGTTTTCTTCGAAATTCTTGAAGAAGAAAGGTTTATATCGTTTTCTTGGATAGAAATAGAGAATTAAGGAGAGGGACTCGAGGATATGGGGATGGAGATATATAGAAAAGACAATTCAAGGGCTTAGCAATTTGATTTGAGCTCAGCTTGAAGGTGTGGGGAAAGAAGACATTTGGGGCACCGATTTTGATTTTGGTTGATAGATTTATTCTGCCGGCTGCTAGATCCTTAATTCGACAGACAAACGCCCATCATTTTATTGTATTTATTGCTTTATTTCTCGTACTTATGTTTACTTTTCCTGTACATAAAGTCCAAGGTTTAATTTAATCTAGGTTTGTCTTACGGTCAATATATGTTGCCCTAGCCATTGTGACAATTAGTGACTGACAGTTTTATCGACTAGTCTCGTCGCCAATTTTGCTACCAATTGAGATATCCAGCGAGCATCGGCTAGAATATTTGTTTAAAATACAGAAATATGTTTT